AGCTATACTAAATTGAAAAAACTCACAAAGCACACCCTCTTCGGGGTTCTTGAACCATCAATGAACACTCAACAAATTATGTTGTCAACAGTGACCACATAATGGACTTCAATAACTTAAAAGCTCAATTCAATTACCTATAAACCTTAATCTGCTCCTTCATGAAAAATCCCTTCATTTAAAAGTACACAAAACCTTTATTTCTTCTTATGACATCTCTTATCCCTAAAATTATATATAAGAAAACTAATTTTTTCATGAATTTTACAAAAAACAAAATGGGACACGAAATTAAGCAAAAAAAATTTCTGATGGGAATGCCAAAAACACCTGGCAAACACTCATCTCACAAGCTAGCATAGGCCAATAAATCTTCCATTCTTTTGTTTAAAATCTGTATCATTTCACTTTTCAGAGCCTTACTTGACGACAAGTCATTACCTTTTTGAACTCATCTAATCTTTCTAGAATAATCAAGTTTAAAAATTTTTCTACTACAAAAATAAAAGTCTCAGAGGTGGGAAGAGCTTTGTGATAGTGTCTGATTTAGCCCTTGCCTACTGACTGGTGAATTTAGTTAACAAATATTGAAACTGATGACCTGTGGGCAGTGGGCCATCCTTGATCTTTGGGGATGTATACAAAGTAATATGACAACTCTGTCCCCTCAAAGGAGTTTACAGTCTACTAATGTTTTCCCAAAGTATCTGAGTACTTGGGAAGAAGGTATGAATGTAAAAATGAAGATTCCCAAGTTTCACCTCAGACTTAACTGATTCAGAAATTCTAGGTATTAAACCCAGAAATCTGCTCTTTAAAAAGCATCTTAGGTAATTCTTGTGCACAACGTTTGAGAACCACCACTCTGGTTCTCACCACTCTGGTTGAGACATATGCACAAATATCAGTTAGGGAAATGCTGAATGTAGGGCTTGTCTTTTAGGAACATAAAAGATTGATCAGTACCTTCCCTCATTAATGACAGATACAAACTGGAAAAAAAGAAGTCATCTCTTAGCCAAACCCACACATTCTTCTAAATCATATTCACCACTAAGTTGGATTGCGAGTTATCACTTTTATAAAAGAAATAAACTTAGTGCAGAAACCCAAAATTTCTACCTACCATTCTCCCTAAAATGCCTAATTCCCTGTGTGCAGTGGCTCACACCTGTAATCCCAGCACTTTGGAAAGCCAAGGCTGGTGGATCACTTGAGGTCAGGAGTTGGAGACAGGCCGGGCCAACATGCTGAAACCCTGTTTCAACTACGAATACAAAAAAAAAAAAAAAAAGTAGCGGGGCATGGTGGCGCTCACCTGTTATCCCAGCTACTTGGGAGACTGAAGCATGAGAATCACTTGAACATGGGAGGCAGAGGTTCCCATGAGCCAAGATAATACCACTGCACTCCAGCTTGGGCAACAGAGTGAGACTCCATCTCAAAAAAAAAAAAAAAAAAAGAAAGAAAAAGAAATAAAATGACTAATTCACTGGATATTTAGTTTAGTTTCATTTAGCTTATGAATCACATATTTTAGCTTATTTTCTTCCCATGAGAGTAGTATTCATAAGGAATAGTAATTTTCATCATATTTTTTCCTTTGACAGAAATACAAAAAATTAGTAGACATAAAAATGTTGGATTTAGAAACACGTAACATATCTGGGCTTTAAGACAGCTCTTAGCAGAATTGCCATATATGGATTCTGTATAAGACCAACACTTTGTACACAGAAAAATCACCTGGGGAGTGGCTATCAATGCAAATGGCTGAAGAGTATGAGTTGATAAAAGATGGGTAACTGAATTTTTAACAAGCACCCCAGCTAATTCTAATGTGAATTGTTTTAAGAAAACACTACAGAAGTTTCAAGATTTCAAGATTCCAAGCTCGTGACACCCCAACCTGTCTTCATGTCTAGATCAATATATTAAACATAGTAGATTGCCAACACATACATATTTAAATAAATAATTTCATATTTAATTAAACTATAAAAGGGAACAAATAGGGGAATTCAGTTTACCTTATCACAGCCCACATTCTCTAGGTCAGAGCTGGGGAATCTTGTTGATATCATGAGTTGCCCTCCAGATCTAGCAGCCACATGCAGTAAAAAAGTAACTTTGCTTTGCTGTTGTTCCTTTAGAGAGTAAATAAAATACTCTAATTACGTACTTTTAAAATTAAAAATATACTGAAGGTGCATGTATGTAGCAAAGGGAATGGCTAACTGAGGTTGGAAGGAGAGTTATTCACTGGACATCGACAATAATCCAAGAAATAAAATTCTGAGGATCAAATAAAACCAAATAGAATCTGTCCTTGGTCTAAGCATCTCGCTGCTGATGTAAGGATAGTAATTTCCCCATTCCCACAGGAATTAATTGTGAACAATTAAATACTTGTGGTATTATCTAATTACTAATAATTCACAGAGAACTGAGAGATTCTTATCCTCACATCCTTTGGGGGAACCTGAATATGATTGGGTTCTGGGGTTGTAAGCTTTCTGTAAGTCTCGGAAGCATACTTTGTGTATTTAGCATGCTGTTTCTCAGATAGTCCACAAACCTGTGAAAGGAACACTGGCTTACTACTTACAGGTAGTAGTAAGAAGAATAACTGTTCGTGACCCTAAACAGTTAGAAGCTCAGCTTTTTCAGCTATAAAATGGGTACCAAGGTTGATCTGTATTCATGGTCCAGGTTCTTTGCACTCAGCCATGATGCTTCCCACGCCATGTGCTTAACTGAGGTTTATGTGGGAGGATCACATGAGATAATTTTTGTAAAAGTGCTCTGTAAGCTGTAAAGCACTATACAGATGAAGCGGATTATTATTAGTCTTTTACGAAGCCCAGCGATAAAGATGCAAAGTGACCCAGAAAAAGAAAACTGAGTAGACAAACCTGAAATACAACATCTCTAGCACCTAGAACAGTTACCCTGTACATGGTAGGTAGGTGCTTTGTAAGTACAGAGTGAGTAAAGAAAAACACAAAACAGGTTTGTGCCTCCTTATACTAGGTCTGATACCAAGAAGAAATAAATATACCCAAGGTCAATGAGAGTTTCATTCAACCATACAACACTGGAATACTCCCAAAAGCCTAAGATTTTAAATTAAAAATTACTTCATATGAAAGAGCACAGAAACATGAAATGTGACACACCATCTGCCATGAAATGGTTATATTCTTACCTCTTCAGTCTTTCCAATGCAGTCTTGCAGGGATACAGCACCTGGGTGAGGGTGTGGAGTGTTTTCCCTGCATCTGGTAGATCTACATAACTGTTCCTAGCAACCTCTTGAGGAAATAACACATTCTATAGAATGTTGGATGCTTAAGCTCTCTGTTTTGGATTTGAAAGCCTGCGTTTTAGTGATTTTTAAGCCAAACCAGATTTATCCCCTAACATCCCCCAAAAAACACACACAGAAAAGAAGAATGGTGGGGGGTGGGTAGGTAGAGAAGCAGTTATTCACTTTATAAAACAATTCTCTATAGGATTCCTTTGTCAGTTTCCTAGACTATGTAAAATGTGATTCAAATTAAAATATTTAAATCACATACCCACAACTTGACATAGGCAGCTATTTGTAAAATAAGGCAAACCCACACTGGGAAATACCAAATTAAAAAAAAAAAAAAATCAAGGGAACAAGTATTTTCTTCTGGGTGGCCCTAAACTGCCTTCTTTTCCCCCATTGCAAATGTATTTTTATGCTGGGTTACATTTCCAAAACAGGAGTGTTTTTTTCTATCGTTGAAATGAAACAAACAAGTTTGCTTTCAGAGCCACAGAAATGCCCAACTGTTAGGGGGGAAAAAAAAAAACGTTTTCCACTGGCCGCTTGCCTCTCTTATCCCCATGCAACCTTGCCTATTGGCCCCTTTCCCTAGGAGAGCCCCTGGGGCTGTCTGATGGAACTGATTGTAAAACTATTTTGTGCAGTAAAAAATTCGTTTCTTCAAAATCTGAGACCACCCAGAACATGCCCAATCTTTGGCAAATATCAACTGGTTTCCTCAGTATTTGACTAGCTGTACACCGAGTAACTGACCCGGGTTTCTGGGTCTTTATTTGAATAGAAATGAGGGGGAAATGTTTCAGAAGATGAAAAAAGGAAGGAAACCTCTCATCCAAAATCTATTCAAAATTCATTTTGTGTGTTTGGAAGGGGGAAGACAGAACAGTGCAAAGAGGCCTCCACCAGGCTAAACCGTCCAACATCCGCAAAAGCTTTTAAAATAAACTGGTCAGGGATCAGGGGTTTGCTGCAAGCTCCAGGTCGCTTGAAGCCCCGTCCCTCCGCTCCGAGCCCTCAAGCCTCCGAGGGTGGGTACCCCGCTTGCACGGAGAGCGGCGGCAGGGATCTCGGAGCTGGGTCGCCGACCGCCCTGGAAGCAGCGGCTCCCGGAGAACAGGCCCAGGCTTTTCTCGGCCCGCTGCATTCCTCTCCTTACAGCCTTGGCTCTCACATACTAGGTGCTCTATAAATGTGGACTAAGGACGCGAAAAGTCTGAATCTGTCCTCACGCCCTAGAGGCGAATTCTGGGGCGCGCGGTTTTATTGAGACCCACTACCACATCGCGTTTCCTGAAGTAACCTGACCTCAGCTCTGCGGCCCCAGCAGCTGGAGAGCCACGGAGAAGGGGGGCTGCGGGAGACAAGATGGAGAGCCTGCGGGAGAGGGACAGAGGCCGCGCTGGCCGCGAGCTGGGGGGCCCACCTGACTGCCTTGCCGCCCGCCTGGCCCAGCGCTCCCATTGACAAGGAGGTCCGCGCCGCCGCCGCGTGGGGCGGGGGCGGGGGCGGGGGCAGGGGCGGGGTAGGGCGCACCGGCGCGCGCCCGGCCCCACGCCCCGCCCCCGTCAGCCTCGCACGCGCCCATCCCGCGGGAGCCGCGGGCTGGGAGGGAGCTTGGGGGAGGGGGAGGATGCTCCGCGAGCGCGCGCGCGCGCCGCCGCCCGCTGACGCGAACCCCTGGCGCGCGCCTCCCCCGCCCCGCGTTCTCCCAGTCCCGAGGGCTCGGCGCGCGGCCCTGCTGACGTCAGCCGGCGGCCCGCGGAGCCGGGTGCGCAGAGCCGCTGGCGCACTCGCGCGCTGCGCTCGCCTCCTCCCCCCGCCCGGGCCCTGGCGCGCGCGCGCTCCTTCGCTCTCCCATTTTTTTTTTTCCCCTCCCTCCCTGACTCTCTCTCTCTCCCTCTCCCTCGAGCTCCCGGCTGGCCGCGGCTCCCTGGCGCTCTCCCTCTCTCTCCGGTAGGCTCACCGAGCGATGCGAGCTCTGGGAGACAGCAACGCCGCCTCCCGCTAGAGACCTGCCCCCCGGTCCGGCCCCCTGCCCAGCCCTGCCCAGCGCGCGGGGGTCGGCGAAGGCGCCGCGGACGCACCGACGGCTGAAGAGCGGCGATGCACATGCACTAGCAGCACCCCCTAACTCACTCCCTCCACATCCCGCGCCGCCGCCGCCGCCTCCGCCACCTCCTCCTCCTCCGCCGCCACCGCCTCCTCCTCCAGCAGCCGCGGCAGTAGGACCCACCCTGCCCCCCACCCCACCCTCCGTCGGCTCCGGCTGCGGTTCCAGTCTCGACTATTATTTTATTTATTTTGGGTCGTGCACAAGCCTCAGTGCCTGCAGCCCGCGCCTCCTCGGCCCGCGGGCGCCTCCTCCCTTGGCTCCGGAGCCCCTGACCCCGGCCACCCTCGACTCGACACCCCCAGACCCCCACCAGCTGCCGCGAGTCTCCGCTGCTGAAATCTTGTTAGCGGCTGTCTTTTTGGGGGGTTCTGGTTACCCGACATTTTTGTTTCCAGCCCAGGAGAGGATATCGTGATTTTCCCCCCTTGAGCCCAGGCTCTGCTCTCTGGGGGGGTGGGGGGCGCGCCGAGCCGGGGAGCCGTGCCAGCGGAGTTGTGCGGGCTGTGGCAGGGAAGGGGCCACCATGGGATGTACTCTGAGCGCAGAGGAGAGAGCTGCCCTCGAGCGGAGCAAGGCGATTGAGAAAAACCTCAAAGAGGATGGCATCAGCGCCGCCAAAGACGTGAAATTACTCCTGCTGGGTAAGGACCGTCGCTACCACCCCCATCCCCGACCCCGGCCACTCCGCACCCCTGCCGCCAGCTCCCCCACCCCACCCGCGCCCGGTAGACCTGGTCCCCAAGTTGGCACCACCATGTGCCCAGGATCGCCCACCCCCTCGCATGCCTTAGTCTCCCCCTCCCCCTGTTCCTTTAAGCTGACACTTACCAGTTTTTCCCCACTGTCTGTCCCAACAGGGGCTGGAGAATCAGGAAAAAGCACCATTGTGAAGCAGATGAAGTAAGTCCCTGTGGCACTGGGATTTGTACTTTTATTAAGAATAATTTTTAAAATCGTTTTTATTACCTTGCTTACTCCACATTGCTCTCCAGGCCTGTTTTTTAATTCGTGCACACACACACACACACACACACACACACACACCCCTATATTTGACTCCCCTCCTCCACTCCCTACGTTGGTTCTGGGTCCTCCACCCCAACTCCCGGGTGGGTGTTTTTTGGGAGGGGGAAGGGGAGCGCCTGTAGTTGTATGAATGACAGCGTCCGCCATATTGATCAGAACATCACACTATTGGCATGATTATGATCATTACTCTTGCTTGTGGAATATTTTGTGTCTCACTGCCTCCATTTCTGTGTTTGTTTCATTCTGTCTCTATTTCTCCTCTTCCCTCCATACCTCCCTATCCCCGAAGGTCCGTAATCCCGCTTCCCCTGCTCTTCTCCTGGGGCAGTGATTTTGAACTTGGCTAACATGGAGGGGACCCAGCCCTAGACTGGGGTGGAGGATCAAGTGTCTGCTGTTCATGCTTTTGGTGCTGAATTGGAGGCTGTGTTTTCTACGTCTCCTCGCCCCCCCCCACCCAAAAAAAGAGGGCCAGGTTTAGGGGAGGGGTCGTGTGCTAGGGGAAGGAGTGGGTTTCCAAGCGGATGTGACTCGCACAGTTTTATCCAAGGTAGAGGTGGAAGGGGGAGGGAAGCTGCCTGTGAGGCTGAATGTCTGCCCCTTGCTGCCCCCAGCTCCTCTCCTCCCCCCCCCCAGCATTGCTCTCCCGATACCCGCAGTTTTCCTTCGCTCCGTGGCCTTTATCAGTGTATTTATTTACACTCTGCATAGGCCATGTTCCATGCAATCTACTCACAATGCGGATTTCAGGCCCCACTTTCCGCCGCCCCCTTCTGCCTTAGCTATCAGTTTCCCCTCCTAATTAACTGGGGGTGGATTTGAGTGATGGTTGAAAATTTAAATAAAATGGGATATTCCTTCCCTGCCACACTTTCTCAATAAGGAGCCTCGCCCCTCCTTCCCACTCTCAGGCTCGCTTCTTGCCCTATCCACCCGGCAATTCCTGTTGAGCCTACAGGCAGCTTTGCTTGGGGAGGGGGTGGCTGGCAGCGAAGGGGTGTGCGCCCTCGGGGCCTCCTGCTTCCGTTGGCCTGTCAGTTCAGGACGGAGGAGTTCGTTAGGACCGTTTAGCGAAAATTCCACGTCGCTTTGCTGTGACACCTTCGTGCACACACAGCTCCTAATTAGGGGTTGCTGTACAGTAAACAAAAATGATTATTTTTCAACTTGACAGAGTAGCCGAAGTAATTGCATCGCGTAGGGAAACAATGGAAAATAAAAACCCCTTTCGTGGGAAGGTGGGAGTAGGAGATGAAGCATGCTTGCGGTTTCAGAACCAAGATGCAAAAAATCTTGCATGTGTAACAGGCATGACAAGCGGGTTCTAGGCGGCGCCATGATGGTAGGGAGTAGCGACTCGGAGACAGTTTCCCCGTCTGCTTGACATGTTCTTATTTTCGTTCGAGAGCTCCCTGGGGCTTTCTTCGAAGAGGCCCCTTCGGCTCGCCGCACCCTTCTGAACCAAGGGTAGTTTAGCTCGGGGTTTCTTGGGAGCTTGTGCAACCCAAATGGATGGGGAAGCGGGGCCTGGGGAATTGCTCTTTGCAACAAGGTGCATGTTGCATCTGTCTGGAGCCCTTGCAGATCAGTAAATGTAAGCCGCGCCACTCCTTTCTCCCGAGGGGGGACGTTTTAAAACTTCAGAAGTCTGTAATCAGCAGTGGAGGACTCGAGCCCGGTAGACGCCCCAGCCACTGGAGCTGGATGAGGTTTCAGGCGTTGCAAGTGGTGGACAGCGCCCAGCCGAGGACAGAAAAGTCGATGGGGCTCAGTTCGGCAACGCTCGGTTAGGCTCCGTGCGGTCTGGGCGCGGGGCTCGGAGAGAGTCGGCGGTGTTCGGAGCCGAGTCTGCGCTCCGGCGGAGAGAGCCGAGCCGCTTCGGAGGGGGTCGAACGCATTCGGAAATGCTCGTGGGAGGGGAGCGCGCAGGAGGGGCAGAAGGAGGGGGACAGGCCAGAGTCTGCAAATTAACTTTGAATCCGCTAAAGAACTGCTTTTCCTGAACATGCCCCATAAATTAGGCTGATTTAATGAGAAGTTTAAAAATATATACTGAATCCCCCAAAGGGGTACCTCACCTTTTTTTATTCAAAGAGAGCTGAGCTCTCTGGGGAAATAGGTGTGCCACTTTAGGATGAAAATTCATAATTATGTACTGGACAGGAAATCTTAAATGAAGGCTGGATGTAGACTTCCCAGAGGAAGTCCTGTGTGTCTTGTATTTGGTTACACCCAGGAGGGGAGAAAATGAAGTGAGTGATGTTTGAGATTGTTAAATCAGAAATCAGAGCATTTCTTCTCTTTCCCTACACTTCTCCCCCCTCGCCTTTTTTTTCACCCTTACAGGACAGCTTTTTCAAGAAAAATGTTAGGAAAAACAGATTTTGTAAGTAAAACTTTTTTTTTTTTTTTTAAAGAAAAGCACAATACACCAACTCTCTTTAAGAAGTAGGGTAGGTCTGTTCCAAAGGTCTATCACAAAGGTTTCTGGTCCCTGGTTTGCCACAAGGGACCCTGGGATCCTGTCCTCCTGAAGCATTCATGAACGGCGGCTTTCCCTGTGAGCCCTCCAGCTTGGCCTGAAATACATCAGATCAGGGCCTTGTGCCAAGCTGAAGGCAGGACTTGTTTTATTAACCACAAAATGTGGGATTGGTGTCACTGTATCCTAGTGACAATTTTTTTTGAGTCCTCCCTTGCAGAAATGGTTTTTGAGATGGCCACTTGACTGAGAGTCACTTCAAGTCAGGAAAATTCTACTGTGGGTGGTGCCAGACCCGAAAATCTAGATGGCATTTTAGAAAGCAGTTTCTAACTTCCTTGTGAAAGTCCATTATTGGTGACCAACCTATCAGACCATATGTACGGGTTAATTAGGAGGCTGTGTCATTTCACCTGGATAGATGAAATTCAACAGAGAGCCCTCTTTAAGTTATACCCCAGGATAACCCATCCTAGGGTATAACTTAAAGTTAATTTTAAGTTATGGGTTACCCTAGGGTATAACTTAAAATTAACTTTAAGTTATAGGCCGCAGTCTAATAGCTCAGCACATTGGATTGAGAGGAAGAATATGGATATTTGGACATCACTGAATAAAACCCCTTCTATTCAGCATTTCCAGAAGAGCAAAGAGTCATTCCATTGAGCCTGTGTTCTCATCCATGTTGTGGTGTGCTAATTAGAAGAAACAGCCTTCCATATATTCCCATAGTAACTGAAGTTAAATGATAAAGGACTGGCTGGCAGTTGCTATTTAGAACAAAGAGTTAACATCTTCATCAGCCTAAGAGCATTGCAGAGATACTGACATAAAATTCTTCTGCTTGATACCTGTTGTAAGGGGAAACTTGCATCTGCTTAAGAGATACCACAGTTTAGAATGTCATTTGAAAAACCTGATTCTCAGTACTTACATTAAAATTTTTATTTGAACATGGTGTTTGGGGTTGTTTTTTTTTTTCCCTTACGTGTGTGATTGTGAATTCGTGTTAGGGAGTTCTGTGTCAGACAATCCAAAACACTTGAGTACTGAGAAATAAACAGTGATAATTGTGATAGCACAAATATAATTTTATACATATCACATGTGAGTAATTAGTGATTCTTTTTTGTGCATGGCATTTTAAATAATTTTGCTTGTTAGGGAGTGGTGACCTCACCTGTGATACAGCTTCATCATGTTGTAGTCAATCAATAAGACTCAGTTATTCAGACCAATCAAACATTTTTAAAAGAACTGCCAATTTTATTCAATTACCAACCCCTTACAAAGAAATCTTTTAATGAGTTGTAATTTTATCAGGCGTAGAATTGACAGAATATCACTTTAAGTGACTTCCCAGTTCTGAACAAATAGTGACACCCACTTGGACTGTGTACCTGATGAAAATGTAAAATGGACTGTGGAGTTGTTCTGGGAGCCACAATTTGCCCTCATTCGAGATGCTGAGTTTTCTGTAATGTTGAGTTCAGGCTATCCATCTCTGGAGCATTAAGTGGAATTTTTAGAAAGCTAGAGAGTTCGAAGGTGGCCGATGCATTGCTTGCTAGCTGGTAGTCTTTACCAAAATGGGCACAATAAAATAGAGCACTTTGGTTGTGCGTCCATTCCCGCAATACCTGCTTAGTGCCATTTTAAAACAAATTTAAGAATTTGCCTGATGAAGACGTCATTACTCATACAAACATTCCAGCCTGATAAGTGGGATATGATTGAGAGAACAGACCCCACCCCGTCAGGAAAGGCTGTCTCAAAAGGTTACCTGTCAGCAAAAAGCTGATGGATTTTTCCTCCCAGCTGACCCTGACTTTGTAATTAGGGTATCTACTGTTTGGTTTGAGTTCAGGGCAAGCTTGCATTCTTCTTGATCTTAGCCAAAAGGCCAAAAAGCGATCAAGCTTGCATTCTTTGAGCACAGTGCTCTTCAGCACCTACTAACTGACAGGCATTCACGGAGGTGAATAGCAACCTGCAGCCATTACTCTATGAAAGTGCAGCCCTTTAAAAGGGCATTTTCCACACTTGCCCGCAGGGTCCCACATTGGGGTAGTATTCCACAGAGAGCCACTCTTCTAGATTTGTAGACTTGTTATTTCTGCAGTCATCTGGTTGGCTGCTTTGCCTCCCTCCCTTCATCCCATCTCTATGTTTATTCAAATGGATGCACCTTGCTCTCCAGAGACAGCGACAGCGCGAACAGAATGTCAGATCAAGTAGCAGATGAGTTCTCTTTTCCTGATGGATGGTGCTCTCTCCCTCCTTACTGTGCACTGAGCTGTAAATACCAGCAGACCTTCCTGCCAGAAGAGTGGCAAACAGTCCACCTGATCTCCTTGGGAGTCAGCTGTGGAATTCTTGAACCTCAGTTACCTATTGGATTCTGAAGTGGAACCTGTATGCTTGTTGAAAAGGGTTGTTGCCAATTAGATTAAATGGGTGATGCTTCATGAGGATCAACATGACTGGAAAAGAATGCAGAAGGGCTGTTCTATGTGTGAACAGGGCTGGATTAGATTTATGATGCCCAGAGTGGGAGTGCTGTCTTGTTTCTTTTAACACATGGAACTCCCAGATTATATTGTGCTGCTTCACATGCCACATCTGCTAAAGATAGGACAAGATCACTCATGTTTTACAGCTGCTTACAGTACCCTAACTCCATTAACACCAGAGATTTAATATGAGTAGAATGAGGCCCTGTTTTTCTGATACGTGCTCAGCCCATTTGCATGCTGGGACTTGATTCCCTGTCTCCCAGGGTGTTTTCATTCTCATTTCTTATGGAGCCGAACAGACCATTATCAACAGAATACGTCTTGATCTGAAAGACAACAGAAAATCTGGTAAAGGGGTGATTCCCAACTGAAAAAAAGAATATTTGAAAGAGTTACCCTCAAAATCGACACTAACAGAGAAAACTTTTGATTCTGACAAAGAAAAATTGTGTGCCTATGTTTGTACATACCCACAGAGTGTGTGGGTTGACAAATGGCAAATGCTATTAGAAGAGCTCTCATCTCACTTTCTTACTGATTGCAGTGTCATAAAAAGCTTGAAGGTGCTCAAATGAACTCCATCCTTAAGAATTTCTTCAAATATGTGTCACATTCTTATTTTCTTCCATCCCTCTCATTTACACACTACTGGTGGAAAGGAACCTGTACAACAGATCCATGATTAGCATGGAGGGAAAGGAGAGGAGAGAGCAGTGACCTGTTAACTGGTTCAGAAAAATAGGTAGTTTCTTGTGTTTAGACAAGCAGTTTAGCATGCCTCTCTAAAATTGAGAGCTTTTATCTGCTGAGCCATCTTTAGAAGCAGTTTAGCAAGCTTCTCTAAAATTGAGAGGGGGTTAAAAGCAATAACTTTGCAAACAGGCTGCCTGGCTTCAAATCTTGGCTCTACTGCTAACTAAATGTGTGACCTTAGACAAGGCACATAACATCTGGTGCCTCAGTTTCCTTGCCTGTAAAATGGGACTGATAATAAAAATAACTACTAATAGGATTGTGGTGAGCATGAAATGAGCTAACATATAAAATGTGCTTAGAGCAGTGTCTAGAACGTGGAAATCATTATACAAATGTTAGCTCCAGTTTTTAGTCCTTTGATTGATTAGTGGGTGTTCCCTTCCCATATGGAGTTCTCTTGTCAAGTAAGTATGTGGGACTTAGCCGCCCTGAGAAGCAGAAGGGGGGTGCTGTGGTTCATGTTCATGGCTTCTTCCCCTTGCCTGCTCTGCAGCACCAGTTATATAACAAACTGTGTTGTCATAACTGATGTGACATTTTTGATGGCGCAGCTGCTTCAGCCCAAGAGGCTGGGGTGACATTTCAAAGGGTGGGAAAGAGCACTGAACTAGGAGTCCAGGTCATTAGCTCTGCCTCTGCCCCTCCGAGGGCTCAGTCTCCTGAAAGAGTTGGACCAGGGATGCCCCAAGCTCCTTCCCTGTTGTCACCAGTGTATGAAATTGGGAATTCCCTTGGTTTTCAGGGTCTTGATGTTCTCAGTATTAAAGCATGAATTATAGTTTTATCCTGTGGGGGTGTGTAGTATCCATGGAAGTTCTTTTAAGGCTAAGTTAATTGCAAAATGGCAACCTCAACCAAAAGCTTTGTCAGCCAGGAAATTTGTAGTTCTGAGAGGCAATTTGAGAAAAACACCTCTAACCAAACTTTTCATGCAGACGTGGTTCTTAAACTATAGAGGAGGATCTGAAAGTATCTCATTAGTAAGAAACAGGATGTTTCTGGGAGGAGAGAGCCAGTGACATTAGAAGAAAAGTGGTTTTTCTGTGGCTTCCAGGATGCTCAGAAGTGGAGACACCAGTGGCATTCACCATATGAAGATGCTTGCCTGGGTTAAGGTGTCTAAACCCCAGGGAGCTGGGAGATTTGCAGACTAGTAAGAGGGGAGAATCAGGATAACTGTTTTAATTTTGATTCACTCTGTCATTTGACTTTGGGCAGATCATTTGGCCACCTTGGGCCACAATTTGTTCATCTGTTAATCGGGATATGGGTTTTCACCATAGAATTTCTCAGGGCTCTTTCAGGTTTCCAGCTCTAAGATGCAGTAAATGCAGAGAGAAACTTAGAAGCCTGAAAGGCAGTGGGGAATAGTGGGAGTATTTACCACCCACAGCTTTTATCTGCTGAGCCATCTTTAGTTCTAATTTTCTTTACAGAGAAGAGGAA